GAATTCTAGGGTGAAGAGCAGAAGGTGGAGCCACCTCTGCTCCTGTGACTGCTCCTCACATTAGCTCCACCTCCCTCCCACATCCTTAGCCTTCCACTTACAGGTCTGATAACTTTACCACAGGACTGAGTGCTAGACAGTGCCTGCTTTGTCGTGGTTCTGCATTCTCACATTGTATCTACCCTGCGATCACCGCCTTTTCAGGTGACTCCCTTGTGTCTCCTCCTTACTGTATGCTGCACTGAAAGAATTAGCTATGACTCCACCTAAGGCCAGGTCTACACGACAAACCTATATCAGTATCACTATGTCACTTGGGGGTGAAAAAATGATGTAGTTATACTGACAGCCCCCCATATAGACAGCACTATGTCGGCGGGAGATCTTCTCCCGACGACATAGCTACCGCCTCTTGGGGAGATGGAGTATCTACGCCAATGGGGCTCTCCCATAGCAACGTCTTCACTAAAGCACCTTCCCCAGTGCAGCTGCTGTAGCGCTGTACGTGAAGACAAGCCCTAGAAGCAGCAGTATGACTGACGCTAATTAAATCAATCCAAAATCCATTTTAGTTTCTGTTTCTCAGGAAAGCAGAGACTGCTTTCCACAGGCATTTATCTGACTTCTGGCTGAAGCCAAAATAACCAGCTCTTAATTATTGATGAGCTCCAACACTGGGTTTTGTGTTTTACAGAAAATCTATAGGGAAATAGATGTCGATCGCTCTGGTACCATGAACTCCTACGAGATGCGGAGAGCATTAGAAGAAGCAGGTACTTCTATTCCGCTATAGCTGTATGACCCAACATTTATCTGCCTGTATATAGGGTTATGCTACTTCAAGTCCCTTATCTAGACCAATAATCAAAGTCAATAGGTACTGGTGTAAATACAGTGTCACCATTTCAGTGATCTTTACCAGTGACACTGGCTTATTGTGTACACTCATCTTTCTCTCTGGTGGTTGGCCATGGTATCTGTCTATACACAGCACATTAAAAATGGCCCAGATGAGCAGCTTCCTGTTTGGGGCTACTCTTACTTAGGACCTGGCCCAGTAGGATCATGAGTAGGCCCTTAACAACCAGGATCCACAGGCGGACTATCCTTTAGTAATAGAGTTGGCCAGGTTGCCCATGAAGAGGAGGCAATCAATGCGAGCACCTCTGATGAATCACCATTAAATAATAATACTAAGCTCTACTGATGAAAAGTTCTATAGAAGATCTCCAAATGCTTTACAAAAGATGTCAATATCATTATCCCCATTTTACAGAGGGGGAAACAGGCATAGAAAGGGAAAGTGACTTGCCCAAGGTCACCCAGCAAGTCAGTGGCAGAGCTGGGAATAGAGGCCAGGTCTCCTAAGACCCAGTCCAGTGCTCTGTGCACTGGATTCTTATGACCACTGCACAATGACTACAAGGGGAATAAAATAAATACACAAGCCCAGAATGAACTGGCACCCGGATAAAGCTCCTCATAAAAGCACAACATCCAATGAAGTTCTCTATAGCACAGCTGGGTGCTGGAAACCAACATCAGCACAGCACTGTAATTACACTGTAAACAGCTTAAACAGAGTGAAAGTACATATTCAGCTATGGATGGGCTAGTCTCAAGAGTCAGAGTTTGAATGCTCATCTAAACTGTTGGAGAGCTTCTCAAGGCTGCAAGGCCATGGGTCCTGACAACAATCCCACCGGAACTCTCCTAGAACAACCCTTAATCATCCCCACCTGCTGTTGTGTTTGTGTGGGTAAGGCCAGATATCTCTGTTTGGCTTCCTTGGTGGAAAGACTGCTTTCCTCTAGGGGTCTTGGGACCAGTAGGCAGCAGTTCTATGCCCCACAAATTCTGGGTGGTCTTTGGGTAAGACACAGCCCCCACTTACTACAGTACAGAGCTGCTCTTTACCATCAACCATTTTTCTCTCACTGGTCCACAGAAGACAGCCACTCCCTCTAAGACAGTGAATCAAAATGGGTTCTCCTAGCCCTCCTGAGTACATGGAGTAGCCAATCAATCATCACTAATACCAAACAACTTAGAAATGCCCACAGATAAACCAAGTAAAAACATGTTATGACCCATCATAACCAACCAGCTCAATAGTTAAAAAAGCAATTTGAAAACTAGACACAGAAATGTGACCAAGTAGCCAATATAGATATGAACATTTTCCAACATTGCTCCCAGTTCGCAAACACTTTGTGATCTTAAAAAAAATAATAAAAATAAAAAAAGTTGTTTTAACAAAAACATACACATTACTCCTGCTATTTTGCCAATACCTGATTGCATTATTAGCTGGCCAAATGTTTTCACCTTTTATTTTGCCATTAGGGTTCAAGCTGACTTGCCAGCTGCACCAAGTCATTGTGGCTCGTTTTGCAGATGAGCAACTTATCATTGACTTTGATAATTTTGTCAGGTGCTTGATTCGGCTGGAAACTTTGTTCAGTGAGTATGTTCTTAGTAAATCTTTACATTGTGAGTAGCCCCTCACCTCGCTGCATTATATAAGGTCCAGACTTATTCTAACACAAGGCTCTCTGATTTGCACTAGAATATTGAGACAAGCTGAGACTCCAATCCTACACTCTGATCTGTGCAGAAAGACAGCTGTACTTTCCACAAGGGTCTGTTTGCATAGATCAGACTTCAGGATTGGGCTTAAAACATTTTGTTACAGTCTTTAGTTACAGCCCACAGCCAAAAGCTAGACTCATAAGGGGGATTTAGGCATTAAACTGTTTAACCTGTAGCTGTCCCGCTGTCTAGTGGAATCCACAACCCCAAGTGAGTTGCCCTGGCTTCCTATACAATGCAGGGAGAGAATTAGGTGCCTAAAATAGGATTTGCAGAAGCCAGCATGCTGAGTGGGGGGGTCTATCAGTCTCACCTGTTGAAATTATTCCACTTGTTATGAAATACTTAGTCACTGGGCCAGAGAGCATGAGAATGACTCTTTAGTCAGTGGTTGCAGCTGGTAGGGGGAAGACCAGGGTTTAAATCCCAGCCATGAACTGGCCAGAGTGAAAATTTGAACCCTGGTCTCCACTCTTGGATGAATGCTTTAACCCCTTAGCTTTTGTGTAGGGGGAGGCATCACCTCTGCTGTGTTTTGTGCGGGACTCAATCCAGTATGCGTGCTCTTAGGAGCCAGAGTGAGCATGCCTACCGAATCAGGTCCTGCAGGTGAGACAGGCGTGAGAATACCTAGCTTGTGAATTCTTATGGGGCTTAAGCCTGTGTTAGGCACTCAGCTGTTCAGTGGTGTCAGGACTTACCTGGTTTTGCACATGCTCACCAGCAGCAATGTAGGAGCCATAGGAACTTACCACTTAGATAGCATGGGACTTTCGACACCTCCAGGGTTAAGCGGCAGCTGAGCTCTGGTGTTTTCTGAATGCCAGTGGTGGTTAAATGTTGGCCTTATGTGGCCTAAAGGGGCAGTTGGGTACCTACGTCCCCCTTGTGAATGGCACCTCCAGTGCTAACGTGACAAAAATAGAAAGCACTTTAGTTTGCAATAAATCTTTAAAAGAATACTTATTTTCACAGACAACTCTCCTTACCAGTATTCTAAACGTACAATGGACCATTAAAAGAATTTTTCAAACAAACGATTTAACATTACAGTCTTTATGTTGCTTGTTTCCTTTTTTCATTTCACTCAGCTTGAACTAAGCAGCTGCTAGTTTTCATGCACTAGGACAAAGCTGCAATGTTTTTGCTGTAACTAGTGGGCTATTTTTAAAAAAAGGAAGCAGCTTTGATGAGATTTCTCTTGGTTTGGTATTCTAAAAGGTTGTTTTCATAAACCCTAAATTTTTAGGGTCCCTTTAAATCTGAGACAAACGTTCATAGTCGAGACATAGTCAAGATTCACCTTTGGGTTCCCACTGCTTTCTTCATACACACATCTTATTTCTCTCTCCTCTTTGATAGAAATATTT